TTCAGATCTGTGTCTCCCTCTCTCTCTGCCCCTCCCCTGCTCACGCTCTGTCTGCCTCTCTCTTTCTCAAAAATAAATAAGCACTAAAATTGTTTTTAAATACCCCGGGAGAGCACTTCCATGTTCAAACACCAAAGGGTGCATTCTGGCCACAGCTGTTCCATTAGTGGCAATAACTTGGACATGAGACCCTGGGATCCATCTCAGGACAGGAAAGACAACACAGGGAGGAGGCACCCAGTCAGAAGTCAAGAAAGAACAGAGGGAGAATAGCAGTCGAGTATGATAACAGTGGTTGCGAATTTCAGGCAGAGAGGAAGCCTGCAAGTTACACAGATAAGGAACATCGTAGCTGGGAAGGCTTCTGAGTTCAATCTAACATGCTCATTTTGAGACATGAACTTGAAAGTCAGGCAACAAATATACACTTCATCATGTTCACTTAAGTAGGAGATATCTTAGAAACGTCGAATGTGGAACAGTTCAACAGTATAGGAATTTCCTATTGATTAAATGTTTCACCACCATTAGGGGTCCAGCTAACAGTGAACCACAGCAGAAGTGTCGTTCTTATCCTATCCGTGGGTGAGCGCACATATCCTCACGGGACGGTCAACAAGATCTGACATTTGGAAAGGGAATTTGACTTGTGTGCTGAGGTAGCAGATTAAACCGCTCAATCGTTTTCTTAAAATTTTAAGCAAAACATATCCTAGGAAAATGTAAAAGGAGCCAGTCAACTGTAGAACGCAAAGGAATAGGAAGCGGGATTTAAAACCAAAAGATGAGCCATGATAATTCAGAGGAGGTAATGCGTCATAAGTTCTCAGAATGAGGGCTGCTGATAAAAGGTGGGTGAAGAGACTTTCTGAAGAAAAACAACAGATTACACGGAGGAGAGAAGAAGGCTATTGTAGTTTTTTTTTTCTAATTGTACGCTTCACGCACTATCTTTTCTGGGGCAAAATAAGGAAATGAAAGGAGCAGTGAGCTTCATTCATTCGAATGCTTGTTCTTGCCTGGAGCAGAGGAAAACTGACCACGAGGCCCCCCTTTGCTCTTTCCCCTTCTTCCTGGATTTTCATTTTGTTCTAATTCCTTCTTCACCTCCCTAAAGCTGAGGGACTTTGGAAATACCTGAAGATCAGGCTTCACATTTAAAATTCAGGTTATCAAACCACTCGGGGATGAGCTTGGTTATCAAACCACTCGAGGATGCGCTTGGTTTAAATGAGGGAAACTTGGATTGTCACAGAACAATGGCGTTTGTTTATTTTAATGGAGGGAACAGCTAGAAAGCGTTTGCAGAAAACTCAGCAATGCTGAGGCAGGAGAGAGAGACACAAGATCAAACCCTCCCGGACACCAGGGCTAAACCACGGACGCTCCAACAACTGGTATGTGAACAAATGCTGCTTTGTAAATGACACGTAAGTGATCTGCAAAAGAATTACACTTATATTTTCTGTGACTCACACCAATGCTCTGATCCTTTTCATATATGTTCTCTATCACAAGAGCAGCGTGTTAAAAATATCCTACACGTTTCAGTAAGTTTCTTCTCCTAATCACCATTGTGCTATAAAATACACCCGAAGCAACAAATACTTTTTTTCCCTCAAGAATGCACACATTTACCACTTTAGAAAAAGTTTTGACCTTTACAATGTTTGTGAACTTATTTATGGAAGAAATTTGAGTGTCCATATTTGTACTGCTCATACAAAAGCACAGCTCAGAAGAGCAGTTATAGAAAGTAAAATTTCAGGGTGCCTGGGTGGCTCAGTCGGTTAAGTGTCCGACTTCGGCTGAGGTCATGACCTCATGGTCTGTGAGTTCGAGCCCCACATCAGGCTCTGTGCTGACAGCTCAGAGCCTGGAGCCTTCTTCGGATTCTGTGTCTCCCTCTCTCTCTGCCTCTCCCCACTCATGCTCTTTCTCTCTCAAAAATAAGTAACCATTTAAACATAAAGAAAAAAAAGAAAGTAAAATTTCTGCACTAAAATATAACTGTACCTAGTTGGTATACTATCTCATCTATTTGCTGCTGCTTCGTATTTATTAATAACACTACAAAGACAATGAAAAACAGATAACATGTATCACAATCATAAATTATAAAAGACAATTTAAAAATGTACTTAATTATTACCTTTAAACTAGTCAAGTCTATTTGCGATTTTTTTTCAGATTAAAAAAAAAGTAAAACTATGATTGATTTGTTCTTTGATTTAATTTTCAATTCTCTCTCTGAACAAAAAGAACAGTGGACTGCAGTGAAAACATAGGTCGAAATTCAATATAAACTTATTGCAAAGTTTCCAAGCTCCAAGTCAGTAAGAAACAATGTAATCAAAACAATTATATTGAATTGGGTAGAATAAACAGGCCGCTTAATAATCTGTTCAAAACGTGTTGCTGAATCAACAATATAAAAAAATATATAGAAGTATCTTTGGGGGCAAATTGGCTGTTATCAGTTTCTTTTATTTTTTTAAAGGGAGAAGACATAAACAAAGCTATAGATGCATGGATAAGTTGATATTTATCCCAAATAACTTATTATGAAAGAATTTGGTTTTAACGCAAACTTGGGATCTGCTTACAGTTTAACAACTCTTTAACTGGAAAGCCCATACATAATTCTAATAGTAAAACAGAATCTGTTGGGTATTGATTTTACTCTCACCATATGAAAAGAAAAATTCTTCCATAGCAAATGTTTGTATTACTCCTCTCATTCCAGGGCTATCAATAGTATAATCACGTAAACATGATGTCAAACTATTCCACCTGTTCATTTGGGGTCACTTGATATTTATCCTATTAACCGTTCCTAACTGGACTCTAACTTCTAGTTCTGTGGCTTTTTTGTCCTTTTTTCTCCCACATCCATGTCATGGTATTTTTCTTCCACCTGTGAAAACAGGGTGCGGAAGATCTAGGGTAGGAGTGCTGGGCTGTAAATCCTGATGTGTCCTATCCCAGCTCTGTGATCTTGGGAAAATAAGAGACGCTTAATTGCGCTTTGAAGATGGAAGAAGAGAATCCATGAAATTCTTAGCAGAGCGTCTGATATAAAAACAAGCTCTTTTCTAACACAGTTAAAAAGTCCAATCCAATGATGAATACGTGCCAGCATTAAGTGGAGAATTAAGTAAACGTATGCATTCGCACACAACTGTAGCCTCTTGAATTATCAAGAGTAACTTAAAATTAAAAGTATTATTGAATGGCTGTGATGGCATCTGTGCTGAAATGCGTGTTTCCCTCTGAGCTTTCTTATTCAGCACAGCCCCCACCTTGTGAGGAGGCAATTGGAAGCATCTCCTCTATTCCCCGGGAAAGGAGATCAAGTCATGCTAAGTCTGGGCATCCATCATCTCTGATGGATGAATCCAGGAAGAACATCTCCTTAGCTCCCTTCTCTTTATTCATAGAGCGAGCCTGCTTGTCCCATCCTGTATGAGCTTTGTCTGGAAGCTCCTCATTTGGGAGATCTGATCTAGTTCACAGGTGCCTTGGACATGGTCGGTAAAGCCGCCCAATAATGGGATCCATTTAGGGGTGCACAGGTGGCTCAGTCGGTTGAGCGCCTGACTCTTGATTTCGGCTCAGGTCATGATCCCCGGGTTGTGAGATTGAGCCCCACGTCATGCTCCACGCTGAGTGTGGAGCCTGCTTAAGATTTCAGTTATGCCCGGGGCGCCTGGGTGGCGCAGTCGGTTAAGCATCCGACTTCAGCCAGGTCACGATCTCACGGTCCGTGAGTTCGAGCCCCGCGTCAGGCTCTGGGCTGATGGCTCGGAGCCTGGAGCCTGTTTCCGATTCTGTGTCTCCCTCTCTCTCTGCCCCTCCCCCGTTCATGCTCTGTCTCTGTCTGTCCCATAAATAAATAAAAACGTTGAAAAAAAAAATTTATAAAAAAAAAAAAAAAAAAAAAAAAAAAAAAAAAAGATTTCAGTTATGCCCTCCAAAGCATCCCCTATCAGTGATCAGGTGTAATTTGGTCTCCATCATTACAGCTGGATTACTTTTCGGTCTGTCTGAACCCAAACTGTGTTATTTATTCGGGGCACCCTCAAATATTCCAGTAGGAGACAGATTCGCTATTGCCAGAAAAGAAACAATTTCATAGAAAGAACTTTCCCAAGGTCCCGCTGCTTGTATATACCAGATTTTGTTTTTCAAAGCGAAATATTTTTTCCTTACGTAGATTCTTCTTTTGTTAAGATATGATTCACATAGCACAAAATCCACACTTTTAAAGTGTACAATTCAGCACTTTTTTTTTAGCCTATTCACAAATTTGTGTAACCATCACATCTGCTTCTAGAACATTTTCCACTATCCCCAAAAGGAAACTCCATATCCATTAAGAGTCATTCCCCTTTACCCCGTCCCCACTCCTGTAATCCACTAATACACTTTCTGCTTCTATGGATTAGCCAATTCTGGATGTCTTATCTAAATGGGATTATACAATACACAGTTTTTTGTGCCTGGCTTCACTCACTTCGCATAACATTTTTGAGGTCCATCCTTGCTATAGTATGTATCAGTATTTAGGAGATATTTTAGACAACAAGAAATCATTAAGCTTTGTACTTTAGAGAGAAAAAGTGAACATCTCTATTTCCTACTTTAGGAATTCAGTCATTTTAACAGTCACAGGAAATCTTACAAATCAGTTCAGCTAAAAATGTGGAGTGTGTTTAAAATCTGACCTTTGGTCCCATGGTGACAAATTGAAACACTAACTAAAATAATAATGTTAAAGAGAATCAGCCAGTTTTCCAAAAATTATGCTAAACTCACGACTGTCAACAGTATTTTGTGGTAAGTATGTTGACAGATAGCTTCAATTTTCTAATTCTTTTCATTAAAAGTCCATCTTGCAATGGACTGTAAAATGGTGGTTAACAGGGACGGCAAACAAAATAATCAATCTTCAGCGAGCAAGGGCTAGGACATCAGCATTCTACACTAAAGGCACTTACAGCTTGCTGGAAAGTGCTGGAAGGTCGTGGAGAATCTCCTCATATGGCTCCTCAGAGGCCAAGGCAGGGACAGATAAACGTTCTTTAACCCTTTCTTCCCAGGCGATTTCAGCTTTCAGCAGCATTTCCTCAATAAACTCAGAGGCAGCAATATCTACAAAAAACAATACAAGACACAGAAGAAGTAGGAGGCGAGATCACAGAAAACGATTCACTTGGAATAATTCCGATGTGCTTAAAATGCTAAAATTTATCAACACATAGAGCAAAATGAAAAACATTAAAAGTTTATGGTAGGAATAAAATTGCAGTATTGCCATTTTATTTATTTATTTATTTTTAAAACTTTAAAGTTTGTTTATTTATTTTGAGAGAGACACAGACAGCATGAGCAGGGGAGGGGCAGAGAGAGAGAGAGAGAGAGAGAGAGAGAGAGAGAGAGAGAAAAGCCCAAGCAGGCTCTGCACTGTCAGAGCAGAGCCCAACATGGGGCTTGAACTCACAAAACTGTGAGATCATGACCTGAGGCTGAAACTAAGAGTTGGACACTTAACCGACTGAGCCACCCAGGCACCCCATGCCATTTTTAAAGGCTATCTTGTTTTATATCAGTGACATATTTAATTACAAATGAAATGAAAAATATAAAAACAATAGTCACCAAGTGGTGATGCGTAAGATGTAAAATCACGGAGAAGCTAAGCTTGAAGGAACTTAATGTCATTTTATTCTCTGCAACTCTTCCTTCAGCTTGATGAATGAAAAAGATGAAAATAGTTATACCTTCCCGAAGACTGGGTTAGTATAAAACTTGTCGTAGGCGCTCTACAAACATCCTACTAAATGGGTAGATGGACAATAGTCGTGTTATGAGAACAGTAAGTCTAGCCTTTCTCTGTGATCTGTGTTTTTCAATCTGAAATATAATTATATTATAAGTTACAGGTTGACAGTAACATGTGAACATCTTTAGGTGGTCATATCGATGTGCCTTAATCAAATTTGCACTTACTAACAATTAAAACCGGAAGTCAGTCAATCCTGAAGAAAAGTTTGCATTCATAACAATTAGGAATCTAATGGGTGCAACTCTTCTTTTTCAATCCTCATGACTGAACTTCCTGGGATCATGACCTGAGCTGAAATCAAGAGGTGGATGCTCAACTGACTGAGCCACCCAGGTGCCCCAAGAAAGAAGTATTTTCATTCAATCAACAAAGATTACTGAGAGTCTTTTATTGGCCCATTGCTGTGTCACTCATGACCAATAAAGTATGGAAAATGGATTCTATTGATGGTAGACTCAGCATGACCCACATGGGCAAAACTGTGTAAGACAGCCATCATATCTTGAGGTGGCCAGGGTTGAGGCCAGACCAGACATTTAGTCATGCCCTGGGCTCTAGGGCTGTGGGTTGCCTTGGGTGTCTATTTGGGCACATTTAGGTCTAGCTGACGCTAGACCTAAAAGGTAGAAGTGTGACAGATGGGAGTCTAGATACTCAAGGGTCAATCATATATTCTCTTCTCTGGGAAAGAAGCCAGGGATATAAACTTGAAAAATGTGATCTGTTGGAACTACAGTAAACAGAGGATGTGACATATTTCACAATACATATTTTAAAGAATAGGAAAAAAAAACTATAAATTTCTATTTACTCTTTACCATTTTGAATTTTTTTATGTTTAGTTTTGACAGAGAGAGAGAGAGAGCAAGCACAAGGGAGGAGGGGCAGAGAGAGAGGGAGACATAGAATCCAAAGCAGGCTCCAGGCTCCACGCTGTCAGCACGGAGCTTGACGTGGGGCTTGAACTCATGAACTGCATCCTCATGACCTGAGTCGAAGTCAGATGCTTAACCGACTGAGCCACCCAGGTGCTCCCTTTTTAAAAAACAAAACAAACCACATGCTTTTGTAGTTAATGGTAAGATTACTACACTATCATTAATATTAGCCTGATTCTAAAGTTAGGAACTATAAAGCAATCTTAGAGTTTTGTTCGTTAAATCTTCAGTTTATTTGAGCAGAGAAGATGGACTAGGGGCGCCTGGGTGGCTCAATTGGTTAAGCATCTGACTCTGGATTTTGGCTCAGGTCATCATCTCACTGTTCCTGGGATCGAGCCCCACCTTGGGCTCCACACTAATGATGGGGAGCCTGCTTGGGATTCTCTCTCTCCCTCTCTCTCTGTCACTCTCCAGCTTATGCTCTCTCTCAAAAAAAAAAAAAAATAAACGTTAAAAACAATGGATACCCTTAAACAACATTTAACTCCAAAAAAATAAGAAATAGAGAAAAACTCTCATTTTGTCATAAGCTGGCGGTTAGTCATGTAATCATACACCTGTAAGTATATCCACTGACAAATCTCAGGCATAAAGTGCTTTTAGATTATTAAAGTATAGCAATAAGAAGAAACTGAATTAAGTTATTTAGATCAATTACTACCTTCAAAATTTTATATCATTTTATTACTTATGCTATAGTTTTCCTAGATTTTTATTTTTATTTTTTATTTTATTTTATTTTTTAAATTATTTTTTAAACGTTTATTTATTTTTGAGACAGGGAGAGACAGAGCATGAACGGGGGAGGGTCAGAGAGAGAGGGAGACACGGAATCTGAAACGGGCTCCAGGCTCTGAGCAGTCAGCACAGAGCCCCGACGCGGGGCTCGAACTCATGGACCGCGAGATCGTGACCTGAGCCGAAGTCGGCCGCCTAACCGACTGAGCCACCCAGGCGCCCCCTAGATTTTTATTTTTAACAAACAAATAACTGATTAGTATATTTGTCAAATTTTAAAAGCTAGAAAATGAATAAGCATCTATTTTTTAAATTAGTGTATGTACATATGCAATAACAGTGGTAAAAAGAACTCTAGAAATATTCAAAAAGATACTTATTAAAAATAGTAACATTAAGATTTTCAAAGTTTTAAATTAGCTTGAGAAAGTCCGTCTTGATTTCTACAGTATACCTATCTGTGCAGAAGAAAACATTATTATTGTTTTAAATTACTCTAGCAAGGGGACACCTGGGTGGCACAGTCTGTTAAGCGTCCGGGACTTTTGATCTTGGCTCAGGTCATGATACCACAGTTCGTGAGTTCGAGCCCCACGACTGACCACAGGGAGCCTGCTTAGGATTTTCTGTCTCCCTCTCTCACTGCCTCTCCCCTGCTGTCTCTCTCTCTCTCTCTCTCTCTCTCAACATAAATAAGTAAGCATTTTTCAAATATTACTCTAGTGAACAAGTGTATATTTGAAACGATATGAAAGTAGTTAAATAACAGCAAAATATTTTAAAGTAATTGACATTTAAGGAATCACTGCCTAGGAAATTAAAGCTCAAAAGCAGATTGCACCCAAGTCCAAGGGCACCCTATACACGGAGCCCCTCTGGAATGTCTTCTTGTAAAGGTGCGGGGGCGGGGGGGCACAGGAGTTTGTGAACAGTGCTTGGACCCGAGCGTGTGCACAGAACTTGACAGGAGAGGCTGACTCTGGTGATGGTGGATGAACAACTCTGGTAGGAAAGGAAGGAGACGGTAACTGCCGGTGGTCCCAGGATGCTGATCACCTACCTGAGGCCTTCTCTTCATTGCAGTTCAGAAGGTTTGGATTCGCCTGATGCATCAGAAGAAGTTTCACCAGGTTTGTCTGAAACATTAAAGATCACGGAAATAAGAAACAGTGTGGTGGATACTGAGGATTTGTGAGTAGGTGCTACGCAGTCCTGGCCTCCAGGACACTTAGAGTCTGGTGGTGTGAGAAGGTATAAATATATCCTACGCTATATAAATGAGGTATAAATCGCTGAGGCTTTGAAAAGGCTCACTTAACGCCTTTCAGGTTTATTTTAGGGCATCTTTTGGGAGGAATCGCATATTCTACGTTTTAAGTCTTTGTTTTAATTTAGCAACTCTAAATTAAAGTCTCACCAGTATGGCCTAATCACGGCAGCCCCATAGGTAATATGAACTAAAGTCACGTGGGAAGATAGGGAAACTTACTCCCAGGCTTTAAGAAGAAAACAACTTGATGAGAGATTAATCTATGTTTTAAATCTTATTATAAAATAGAAATTCAAAGAATACATATAATGTACATGTTATCACTGACAGAGGGGAAATGAAATAATTTCCAGTGGGTCCAACTTTTTAAAATGGGTCATTCATGGTATCTTTCTGTGTTTCTTCCCCAAATTATCCCTATTTCCTGGAGTTGACCACTGTCGTGAATTTTGGGCTATTGCTATGTTTTCCTTATAGCTTTAACCCTTACGTACAGAAGTATGTCCAAACTACATACTGCCCGGTTGTATCTGTTTGTGACATTTATAGAAGTGAAATCCTAGTGTCTATATTCATAGATGCCCCGCTCTCGTGACTTAACACTGCGTTTTGGAGAATCACCAGAGGCAGTGGATGTGAACAAGATTTTTCCATTTTCTTGGCTGCATGTAACTGCACGGTACAAATGTATCACGATTGGTCTGCCCTCCTCAGTGGACATTCAAGTCATTTGAGGTCACTTACTTTCACAAATAATGTTGCTACAGACACTCTCATTTATTTCTCTTGGGACACAGGTGCAAGGATCTCTTCTGGATACAGCACTTTAGGGGACAGAAATTGCAAGGCAAAGGTCTGGACATCATCAAAGTGGTCAGAGAGCTCCAATTTTTTTTTTTTTTTTTTTTTTTTTTTTTTTTTTTTTTGCCGAGAGCTCAAATTTACACTCCCATCCCCAACAAGAGTTCCCGTTGCCCCATATTCTATGTAATAATTTGTAATTGTACATCTACATATTGCTAGATTCACATGCTCTCCAACACTTGTTTTTGTCATTTTTTTTAAGCTTAGCTATCATACTGGCAATGAAGTCATATTTTGGTCTAGTTTTACTGATTCCCATGACAGCGAAGGACAATGAACACCTTTTCATGCGTTCAGTAGCCAATCTTAGATTTTCTTTTGTGGAGTGTCTATTCAAGACTTTTTCACCCACTTATTACTGGAGTGTTTGTCTTTTTATTAGTGATCTGTGTTCTTTGTATGTTCTAGATACACTTGCCAGATATGCATATCCCAAATATTTCCTCCCATTCTATGGCTCGCCTATTCATATTCTTGAAAATGTTTTTTTTTTTTTAAGGACTGAAGGTTATTTTCACTTTGTTTTGCTTTTGTTAAAGTGCAACATCTCTACTTTTTCTCTCTAGAGGTTAGCACTCTTTATGTTCAATAGCTCTTTGCCTAATCGAAGGTCATGACAATATCATGCTATATTTTCTTCTAAAGGCTCTATCATTTTAATGTTTATACTTATGGACCACCTCAACTGAGTTTTCACAAATGGCACATAAAAGCTCAAATTTATTTTGGTCCAGCACAAATGTGTTGTTTTTCAGCCATATTTCTTAAAAAAACGAAACAAACAAAAAAACCTTTTTTTCCTCTCATACCGAATTACTTTGCTACCTTTGTAGAAAATTAATGGGATACATATGTCCCTGCCCACTTTTGGACTCTGGTCTATGTTTCATTGATCTACTTGTCTGCCCTTATCTCATTCCCTAACTACCTTGATTAGTGTAGCTTTATAGCCAGTACTGAAATCACATAAGTGAAAGACTTACAGTGGGTCTTAAAAAAAATCTGTCATTTTCTTACTTTTTAAGATAAGTTTGTCCATGTGGGTACTTTGTGTCGCCATATAAATTTTAGAATGAACTTTTCAATTTCTAGAAGAAAGGGTTTAGGATTTTGATGGGAATGGCTTTAAATAGACACTGTACTAATTTTCTATGGCTGTTAAAAATATCACAAATGTAGTGCTTTAAACAAAAAGAAATTATCTTACAATTCAGCAGCCTGACACATGTCTCACAAGGTTGAAATAAGGGTATTGGCAACAGGATGTTCCCTCATGGCTCTCGGGGAAGATCTGTTTCTCGACCTTTACAGCCTCAACAGGTAACTCATTCCTTCCCTCACCTTTGAACCTGCATCTCTCGGACCATCTTTGCAGAGCCACACCTCTCGCAGACCCTCAGCCAGGAAGAAATGTTTCTCTGCTTTTAAGGACCCATCTGGGTAATCCCCGGAAATCTTTCCATCTCAAAATCCTTAATCAACCACAACTGCAAAGTTCTTCTGCCTTGCCAGGTAACAAATGTATTGACAGGAACTGGGTTATTAGGGTGCGGGCATCTTTGGAGGATAATATTCAGCCTTCCACAGCTAGCGCAAAAATATTCACTGTCGCTACACATGAATGTGGCTTTGCCTCTCCATTTATTTAGCTCTTTTCTCATTTCTCACTGCAGTGTTTCATCGTCGTCAGTGTAGAAATCTTCTGTTAAAATATTTTATTAAATATATTATTATATATTTTGTGTTTTCAATGCTGCTGTGAACAACTTGACATATGCACTTAATGGTTCTAGTTTTTCCATTTTTTCCTGATTCCTTTGGTATTCTTACCTTCCTTTCTCCTTTCCCATCTGTGTCTTTTGTTTCCATTTCTTGCTTTATACTATATTCGAATGAGACTGGCTTTTCCAGTCTTGGGTTTTGCTTTTGTAACATGTGCTGTGATGTTCTCCCCACATGGGGAGCTTCACATCCAGGCACACTGAGGCATCTCCCCACCCACCAATGATAGCTCCTCTTAGCACTCTCATTAAAAAATTAATTAGATTTTAAATAGTCTGCTTTCCCAAAGCCAATTCAAAAATCAGTGTTTGGTTTTCCAGGACACAAATTACATCAATAACATTTAAATTACATTACAGTAGAGAGATTATATTTAGAAGTTTATTTTTACTTCTAAGTACACAGTTTACTAAAGAAAGAATCTCTTGAAATCTGAAAGATAGAATACATACAGCAGATGTCCAGGACATTAAAATATGTACAGAAGAGAGTTTGGTTATATTAAAGATCAGAGAGATTTGCTTGCGTTTAAACCAAATGGAAGGGGAGAAGGAAAAGAAAGACGAAGAGCAGGAGAGAGGGAAGGACAAAGGAAGAAAAGGAAGGAGAAAAGACAGAAGAAAAAGGGAAAAAATCCAAAATTTAGCTAAGATTGCCTTTGGTTTCCACAAATCTGAAAAAATAGTTAATAAACCTAAAAGCTTTCATATCTCTGCAAAAACGTCAGACCATCACAGAGTCTAACAATTAACTTCACATTTCTAAATTCAATTCACGGTTTCCAGAACTCCAGAGAGAAACTTGCGCAATCTCTCAGCAAACCACTCCTCATCCCCAGCTTCAACTAGAACTGCAGAAAGCATTTAAGTAATCAAAGCAAAATGCTTCCTACATAAAAATCTGCAACAATAAAAGTAACTCCATTTTATTTCAGGCCCATAAAAATAAGCATCCGTGTGTGGAAGGAGGAAGCTTTTCTCATTTGGGAAATTCCTTTATTTTTTTAGAGATGGTATTTCCCATGCACTTCCAATTAGAAATCAGGGAAGCACATCACAGAACTAAATTAAACAGGCCAGTGCTAATTTCAATTACTCTCCTCCAAAACATTTGTTTTATCCTCACAAAAGATCTTTAGGTAAATCGCTTCATGTGTGAATAGGTCGAGCGTGCAACCCAATAAGAATTCATCTACACTAGTACAAGACCGTTATAATCACCAAAGGCACCGGAGAATAAGGTGACTGTGCGTGTATTGGGGTGGAGGGGTGAGTGTGTAAAAGGAGACCATAATGGCTAATAGAAAATACACATTTAAGCTGAAATTTAAATCCATCCAAGATTCACTGGATATGGACTTCATTCGTTGGAGAGTTGTCCTTCAGATTGGATGAATTTAGCAAAATTAATTGCTTCATGGTCATTTAAATTCCCTCTTTGAAGAGTCAAACAGTAGCAATCAGTGGCTATAGCTGGTTTCTGTCTGAGACGCTAAAAGGGATCATTTCACAACCTAAGGAGAAGACACTGAAACCTTAAAGGTCCGGAACGCACAGTGTGTGCCTCCTACCTCACTGGTGTCTGCCCTACACTGTAATGAGCCATTGCCTCCCACTCAGAACCCCCTGGAGGATTTCAGATCCAACATACAAAACCAGCTAATAAATGGTTGCCCCCCCGCCCCCCGCCATGTGTGGTCCCGCTACGATTTCACATGAAGCACAGATCCTGTGTCCGTCCTTCAGAACACAAGCTCTCCAACTGCTCCAGTTATCTGCGCATCCTTCCCGAGTGGGTCCCTTCTCCCCCCACGTGGCAGCCTCCTTGCCCCATGACCTTCCTGGTCCTGCTCCTCGATTAATGCCTATGCTACCCCACAGGTGTTGCCCATGCCATCTGCCCCTGGCTGGACTCCCTTTGCCCGTGCGCTGTTTTCCTGGGGTGCCCATCACAGACGTGTGCGCCTGGTCCCTGCTGCCCCCAGGGCATCCCTCCCGCAGCCCGCTGCGCAGGTGCATGCACAGAGGGCTGGAAGGACAAGCACCTGCCACCCGAGGACCATTGCGGGCCCCCTCATTTGTGGGCAAAACTGCGTGTTCTGGGTCAGGCCCTGTGCTGATGAGAAACATCGCTGTCTGCCCACCCCGTTGGCACGCATTAGGCACCGGAGGGCAGTGGGGACAGATGCAACCCGCCATGGTAAGTGACATGGTTCAGAGA